CCAGGCGAAATGCTTAGAAACGGAGAAGCTGTTGCCATTAAAAAGGTTCTACAGGACAAGAGGTATAAGAACCGAGAGCTACAAACCATGCGCATATTGGATCACCCAAATGTTGTTGCCTTGAAGCATTGTTTCTTTTCAACCACAGAAAAGGAGGAACTCTATCTTAACCTTGTATTAGAGTATGTCCCTGAGACTGTGCATCGTGTTATTAAACACTACAACAAGATGAATCAAAGGATGCCCATGATCTATGTGAAACTATACAGTTATCAGGTAACATAACACTTTCTTCCTTTGAATCTTTTAATGTTGAACTTCAGTTATCTCAACCTCCTACTAGAGAATGTCTATGAGATTATGTTCAACTTTAGCTGTATGATCGCTAAGCCATTTTCTTTGATTATGCTGCTGCAGATTTTCAGAGCCCTGGCCTACATTCATGGTAGTATTGGAGTGTGTCACAGGGACATCAAGCCTCAAAATCTATTGGTATGCTTCTCTACATGTTTGAGAGCAATTTGGTTCAGGTTGATTGTAGATTTATTTGATCATTTTGTGTAGATAACTCAAGTGTCTATGTTTCTCCTTAACTCTAACAGGTAAACCCACATACCCATCAGGTGAAGCTATGCGATTTTGGAAGTGCAAAAGTTTTGGTGTGTGCCAATGTTTATATCATAAGATATGATATGTTTTTACGTTGATCTTTGTGTTGCATTACATTTGATGTGTTTTTGATAGGTAAAAGGAGAGCCAAACATTTCTTATATTTGTTCGAGGTATTATCGAGCACCTGAACTAATTTTTGGGGCGACTGAGTACACCACCGCGATAGATATCTGGTCTGGTGGATGTGTTTTGGCAGAATTGCTGCTTGGACAGGTGGGAGGGTCTTTCAGATTCAATTCAAGAACTATTTTTTATTTATTTAATAAACATCGTATTTTTATGACCTGAAAGCATGTCTCTCTTGTAATTTCAGCCTCTTTTCCCTGGTGAGAGTGGAGTTGACCAGCTAGTGGAAATCATAAAGGTACGTATTGAAATTATGTAAACTAAACTGAGGTGAAAGACACATTTTTCGCCTTGCAACAACGTCAAATGCGTATTATATGTATATGATATGACTCAGAAACAGTTGGTTTTAAAAGCATTATTTATTTGTTTGCTGTTTGGTGATGTATAGGTTTTGGGTACCCCAACAAGGGAGGAGATAAAGTGCATGAACCCCAACTATACAGAATACAAATTTCCCCAGATTAAAGCTCACCCATGGCATAAGGTAGGTAGGTAATTAATTTGATGTCACAACCCCTGGCATGGCCTAAAACATACATACAAATACAATAATATTCTCAGATATTCCATAAGCGGATGCCTCCAGAAGCTGTTGATCTTGTCTCAAGGCTCCTGCAGTACTCCCCAAATCTTCGAAGCACTGCTGTTAGTTGCATCTATTCTATTCTGTTCTAAATATTAAACATATTAAATATTCTCGAGACTAAGTAGAGATTGTTATTGTTGACAGTTGGAGGCAATGATCCATCCATTCTTTGACGAGTTACGTGATCCTGCTGCTAGGCTGCCAAATGGGCGTTTCCTTCCACCACTTTTCAATTTCAAGCCCCATGGTAATAACGATTTGGTTCTGTTTGATTTTTATTTTTTTATTTTTATTTCAATTTCAAGGATGTTTGTGGTTTTTGTAGAGCTGAAAGGGGTGCCTGTGGAGATGGTTACCAAGTTGGTCCCAGAGCATGCCAGGAAGCATTGTGCATTCCTTGGTCTGTAAAAAAAACACAAAAAGGAAGGATACCTATGTTTCTTCATTTGTTCCTTGTAGTTGTGTGCCTGCTGTCTAGAGATGTAAAACCTAAATGTTATCCAATATCAGTATGCTATATGCTATATGCTATGCTGACCCTCCTTGTGCAAAGTAAAAAGTAAATGTAACCCCCTATATTCATTTTCATTCACTGCAACTGCTCTCTCGCTCTCTCTCTCTCTCTCTCTCTCTCTCTCTCTCTCTATATATATATATATATATATATATATATATATATATATATATGTATGTATGTATGTATGTATGTGTGTGTGTGTGTAAAGCTTCCCCAGCTGGTGTAATAAAGTCTGTGATCTCTCTCTCATTAATTGATTGTATTTTATAAAAGGAAGTTGGTTTTGTTGTTACAATGGCTGTTACGTGAATTGCATTGTTCAAATGAAAGGTTGTAAAAGAAAGGAAGGGATGTGTTTGTGAGGTTTAATTAGTAGCTGTGTTTTGATTATCAGATGCCAGGGTTTATTGATTGAATGGATCCAAAAGGATGTGGATTCTTGACAAACAAATGAATGTGAAAATAGTCAAGGTTAATTAAATATTATACATTTGTTGAATAGAATCAGTGGTAAAACTCGCAACAATGTTTTAGAGAGGTATATATATATTTCTTATTTATAGATGGAGGGATGGATGAATTAGTGAGTGAGTCCGCATTGTGTTTAAAACCGTCAAAATTGCTCCCAAATCCACAAAACCATAAGTTAAAATTCATCATACAACATTATCAACTGCAAGACCTTAATCAAATTACAGTTTTTTCATCCAACTCATTCAGACTTGGACCATTTATGTGGCAGAATCAGGTCGACCAAAACCCCTCTAGTGATGCCACGGACAGGATTTTGGCAGCAACAATCCTATTTGCAGCTTCTGTGTAGTGGACACCATCCCATACGATGGCAGATGTTACGTTATTGCACATGTTGTATCCCGGCTGCCCGCATGTCGCTTTCACATTGTAATTATTGGGAGGCCCACCATACCCACAGCACGCCTTGAATGGTTCTACGAATCCTGTGCATCATCCATTAATTAATTACCAAATATGAATTCCAATATTAATTGATCACCTTTACCTACCGTATTTCGAGGCCTTGGCAAACAGATTGTATTTGATGCTGTAAACATCCACATAAAGGATGGCTGCATCTTTCAGTTCTGATCTCAACTCTTTGCACATGCTGCGTAACCCTCTGTTAAACAGTTTGGCCAAATCATTGTGGACACGAAAGCATCCAATCCTGTCAAGGTCGGTATCATTGTGTGCATGTAATGCAAGCTCTTTAGGAGCACAGCCCTGTGGCCCAGTGCTATATACCCAAAACTTTCTCCCACCAGACTGGTATAAATTCTAGGTTCCACACAAAACCTTCTTCATTCATCGTAAAATACATTTGTATCAAACACGAAATGAAATCAAGAGATGCTTACTTGAATAGCTAGTTTGGTTTCAGCTATAAAAGATGGAATTTGGGCTGCAACTGGTGCGTAAGTAAGGTTTGATGCATACAGTGCTTCAAGCAGATCATTTTGTCCAACATCTATCATGTAAAGCGCCTTATGGAATTCATCTTCATTGATAAACTCCCCAGAACCTGTTGTCAGTAGTACGACAGATTAATTAATGATGACTGGTACGGATGAACGTACATATTACATACCCAGTGAGAGGAGTTGAAGGGAACGATTCTTGAAGTGCAGGAACTGCCGAACTTGAATATCAAGATGAAAAGGAACAAACTGTGGTAGAATCATGGCTCCAGCTACTGCAAAATTTACCCCACTTGTGAAATTTGGTGCCAGCGATTCCAGATATGGGCTCAAATAACCCAGCTTCAGATGTTCACCTGTTGAAAAGATGAATCAGGAAGAGCAGAGAGATTAGAGAGAGAGAGAGAGAGAGAGAGAGAGAGAGGACTGACAGATAAAGTCAAGGATGAGTCGACCGTCACCGAAACGACCAGTGCCTCTGTGAAAGAAGGTAATGCCGTGCGGAAGGCCAATGGGAAGTCCTGCACCGGCCAGCACTCCTCCAGTGTCGGAGTTTGCATCACCGAAGTTAATTATAAGCATATCTGGTCTTGCTCTTGTGGAAGCCGAGATACCAAACACCATCCAGACCCATAGGAGCCACAAAATCACATTCACCCTGTTGAAACCCATTCTCCTACTATACTGCAATCCCGTACAAAATCATCCTCCATTAGTACACCTGCGCTGCAATCTGCAACTTGATATTTAAAAAACCTTAATTGGACGTCGTCATCCATTTGTTCCCTTGTGATTTCATAAGCATAGATTACTGCAACTTGGTTTTATAATTCCTGAAATATGATTATTCTTTTCTCCTTGGACCTTGCTAGCTGTTTTTCACGTTGACGCTTCCTTCAAATTAATATTTAAAGACCCGTCTCTGACTACTTAGACTACTCTCCCTCACATCATTTTCTCCCATGCTCCCTCATTCAGTCATTCTTAACAACTTCTTTCCCAGTCAATTTAACGAAAAAAAAAAAAAACCTAAAAAAATTCTAGTTTGTTTTTTTAGATAATATCATAAAAAAACCTTTAAGTTTGACAGAAAATGTCGGTTTTACCTTTTAATAGATTTTTGGTTCGTTTATGACGTAAATTTTCATTTGTTTGTCGGTTTTGCCCTTTTGATCTATAATAGCAAGTTTTCAGGTTACCGTGAATTATTATTTGCGAAAAAACCCATAAATTTCCAAATATTTTGCAAAAAAACCTTAAGGTTATAAACAAATATATATATATATATATATATATATATATATATATATATATATATATATATATATATATATATATATATATTCAAAATTTGATAAAAGTAAATAGTTTTCTAAAAATTTAAGATAAAATTACAAAAATGGTCCATGTGGTATTGTAACAACGTAAATTTCCAAAACAATTTTTCGCATTTTATAAAAACATAATTCATTTATTATTCATAAAACATCATTGTTTGAAACTCAATTCATAACATATATCAATCCCAAGATCTCATAGCATAAAAATCCCGTGTGTGTACTGATTAAGCCGGCACCTTCCCGCGATCCTCACTAGTACCTGAAACACATAACACAAAACAATGTAAGCATAAAGCTTAGTGAGTTCCCCAAAATACCACATATAACACATATTAGCCACTCGAGGCTATAACTCTGTGGGTCCGTGCACCCCAACTCTGTGAACCCTCAGGTTCTAACTCTGCAAGCATACACAGCATAAATCACATAGAAGAATGCAGTGCAACAAACAATATATATAAAACACTGTATCACATAACTCTATTTACCTACTCAAGGTAAAGTATAGTGAGAAGACTCACCTCGGATGTCTCAGTAAATCTCTGACTCGGTAACTCTGGTCTAGCCTCTGCCTAATCACATGAAATAAATACCCTAATTAATACAACCCTCAAGGCTAGGCTAATCTCTTCCTCTTAGTACATCCACTAGGAAGGGTAAAAGACTATCCTACCCTTCCTAAGCTCAAAACATTGACTAACCCTAAAAGTCAACGGTCAACCTTGACCAAACTCGCCGAGTGTGCAACTGTGACTCGGCGAGTCCACACATGTTCTTCACTCTCCTAGTCTTTATTCGACTCACTGAGTCAACCTCAACTCTGTAAATCATCACTGATCACAATCTGTGAAATGTCCTGACCCAACTCGCCGAGTCCGGCTCTTGACTCGGCGAGTACCATCTTGCACTCTGTCCTCTAGATTCCCTCTGACTCACCGAGTCACTTCCCCAACTCAGTGAGTCACCAAATGTGTGATTATCGGGAAAACCCTCGTCCTACTCGTCGAGTCGGCTAAAGGACTCGGCGAGTCCATGCCATGCTCAAGATGAACTGACCTCTTGAGGTCAGATCCGCTTCTCTAAACCATAGATCCAGCTTCCCAAGGCATTATAATCACGTAAATCTAACATCTTGGTGCACATGCAAAGGCTCAAAGGCCTTATTTGAAGATATGGCCTCTAAGGTGACACCCTAAGTTCATAACCTCCATTAATGCTCATAAAGCTCAAGGGGAAAGGGTCTCTGGACCTCTTTGGGTCCAGATCTACAGCACCAACACGAGAAGGGACCAATTACTCCATAAAATCATCCTCTAATGGGGCTAAAAAGCCCTAACTCTAAGAATCACATCATAAACTGAAGAAGGGTTCGAATGGATACCTCAAAATGAAGTCTCTGAGCTCTGGAATCACTAGCTTAGCACCCTCTTCAGCCTCCGCTTGTCTTGGTCCTCTTCTATTTGCAAAAACACCAACAAAGATCAAGAAATAGCTCATTTCCTCTCACAAACGCTCTAGCACACTTAGGGTTTCTCTCTGGGGTTTGGTAGCCGCAAATGATGGCCATCAGGCCCTTTAAATAGGCCCTAAACCCGAGGAATTAGGGTTTCATTAAACAGCGTGGACTCGATGAGTCCTCGGGGCGACTCGCCGAGTCCAGCCGTCCACCCGGATAATGATTCGCGTCTCTACTCGACGAGTCTACGCATCAACTTGCTGAGTCCTTCCACAAAACTTGAAATTTAAAAGAATAAATATAATACCTGAAATTCCGGATGTTACAATTCTCCCCCACTTGAATCAGACTTCATCCTCGAAATCTCATCCCTGAAATAACTCCGGATGCTGCTCACGCATCTCCCGCTCTGGCTCCCAAGTCAACTCGGATCCTTTCCAATGTTGCCATTGAACCTGCACCAGAGGCACCTCCTTGTTCCTCAGAACCTTGATTTTCCAATCCATAACCGCAACTGGTCTCTCCACGTAGTTTAGGCTCGCATCCACCTGAATGTCCTCTAACGTCACTACCGCCGACTCGTCGGCTATACACTTCCTCAGCTGAGACACGTGGAAGGTATTATGAATCCGCTCCAACTCCGCAGGTAGCTCCAAGCG